GGATTTACGGATCCAAACTACTGTGGCGCACGACAGAAGGTTCTTCATCCCCTGAGATTTGCTTCGGACTTCAAAAATAAAATCCAAGCATTAACTTGACTCACGGGTCAAAATGGCGAAAGCAAGTCCATGCAACTAACTTTAAAAAAATAAAAAAGATGACCATACTCGCATCGGATACATGAGTATAAAACTGTTTCGCCATATGCCATGCGGATACATGAGTATAAACTGTTTTCGGCCGCTACTCCCATCGGATACATGAGTAATAAACTGTTTTCCCCTACTTACTCTCCATCGGATACACGAGTATAAACTGTTTTCCCCCAAACTCGCAGTGGTGGCACGAGTATAAACCTGTTCCGCCACAACTCCAAAGAGTATAATAGTATAAACTGCTTCTCGATTAATCCATACTGGAGTATCAATGTTAAACAGAGCCGTTCCAAAGGAAGCTGGGGTTGGATAAATCATATAACGGGTAAAGTCCCGGAAGAATGTTTAATGTTAATATTCTTAGGCGATAACCCGATCATTATGAACAAAGTGATAAGCACTAAAAACTCTTACTATAACTTCTGAATACTCTTTTGGCTGAGAATGAGATTGCGATCACTTCTTTAAATCAATCTTCAGCTCTCAATTGCCATTTTGGTCAAACTTTAAACAGTTAGGGACCAAAAGCTAAAATCGCCTCGCGATTCTTTCCATGAACGAGAGGTCACAAATGAAGCGATCAACCTTAAACAGTTAGGATCGTCTCAAATTCCATCTTGGTCAAACGCTTTAAAACGTTAAGGACCAAAGCCAAAATCCCTCTCGATTCCTACCATGAACCGAGAGGTCCACAAATTGAACGATCAACCTTTAACAGTTAGGATCGTCTCGAAATTCCCCATCTTGGTCAAACCTTTTAAACAGTTAGGACAAAGCGCAAAATGCCCTCTCGATTCCTCTCATGAACGAGAGGTCCCACAATCCACAAATTGAACGATCAAACCTTTAAACAGTTAGGATCGTGCTCAAATTTCCATCTTGGTCAAACTTTAAAAACAGTTAGGACCAAAGCCAAAATCTCCTCTTGATTCGTCCATGAACGAGAGATCCACAAATTGGCGATCAAACCTTCCTACAGTTAGGATCGTCTGCAAAACTCCCAACTTGGTCAAACCCTACTACAGTTAAGACCACAACGCAAATCTCCTTTGATTCATTTTTGGAAGCGAAGGGTAGCACTTTTGAATGAGTAATCAAACCTTATGACAGTTTAGGATTATTCAAACCATCCAGATTCTCTAAGTGGAAGATCCCACTTTGAAGTTTCTTTAACTCAGGAGATAGAATATAAAATTCTTTTTCTTCGCGCGATTCTGGGTTTATCTCTAACCAACAAACAAGAGACCTAGGAGATAGAATATAAAATTCCTCCTCTCGCAATTCTGGGGTTTATCTCTACCAAACAAACAAGAGACCAGGAAGATTAGAATATAAAATTCTTCCTCTCCATCAATCTGGGTTTCAATCTCTACCAACAAACAAGAGACCAGGAGATAGAATATAAAATTCTTCTCTCGCATCATCGGGTTGCATCTCTACAACAAAAGAGACCAAGAGATAGAATATAAAATTCTTCCTCTCCATTACAGGGTTCATCTCTACCAACAAACAAGAGACGCAGACTACATCCCATAGGTACGAGTCTAAACTTTTTCCCTAATCTCACAGGAAGTTTGCTGAGAATATTACTCAAATATTCTTAAGAATAACCTGATTTACCTCCCAACGGGTTATATGAGGTACACTATTTCCCGAACACTCCAATAGAGGGCATAGCAGTATAACTATTTTCTATTCTTCGACGCAGTTCAAATTCAAGACTTCGACAACCGGTCACCGATAACGCAGCACCGGAGGAATTTAGCTATTCTACAAAGCGCTGAATAGGCTAAAAGATGAAGAATCAAGGATTGACAGCCATTCACGAAAACCGTTCTAACGCAATTTCCTCAACCAAAAGTACTAAAGAAATTGCAAGGAAAACTTAATCATATCCAAGTGTCGCCAGACTCCTCTCAAAATGATGAGTCTGTGATACTTTGGAGGGGGTATCTGTAGAGCGTCAAAAATGCCTTACAGAACATCCTAAAATATGCCACTCAGACAAAGAGAAGGTGATAAACATAGTATCTAAGTCATGGGAGATCATACCAAGCCCAAAGGAAGCAAAGGATCTGTGAATCAACATAAACAATGTGAATTCACAGAACAATGCAAACTACAGCGTGTGGGCGCGGCAGGCTTCATGGTGCCGCGGCTACAGGCGGCAGCTCATAGTGCCGCCGGCTAGACGCCGGCAGTTCATAGTGCCGCGGCTTGGCGAGCAATCCATGGTGCGCGCGGATACTATAGGGGATGCTACATAGCGGTTACGAGGTAGTTATGTGATGATTATGTGAAGTCTACGCTGGCGGCGTATCAGAAATAAAGAACGTGTGCTGACGTGTACAAAGCAGTTACCACGAAAAAGGTGGGTTAAAAGTCGTGGGAGGACAGTTTTCAAGCACGATGGAACGTGCTGGTAACTGCCCCTTGTGGCCGCTGCATTCATGCTGGGCAGCGCCAATAGACGCTGCAGTCCATGCTGCCAGCGCGCAATAGCCGCTGGCAGTCCGGGATGTCGCGGTCAAAGGGATAGTCGTTGATCGGTCTATTTCTCAGTTATGTCGCAAGGAGGCTATAAATACCCCCTATGGACATCATTGACGGGGGGCTGAGCATTTTCGCAAGAGAGATTAGAAGGCAGAGAGCCTTGAGTTTTGGTGAAATTAGAGCAGAGAGAGAGTCTTCCTTCTTCAACAAACATCCTCAAGAAGCATTCTAGCGAGTCCTAGAGATGCTTAAGGCTCAGACTTGCATCTTTGGAAAGAGTGAACATCTTACATTCGATAAAGAATATTCGCTTCAATTCTTACTGTCGATAAACGAAGGAGAAATCATTAACCCGTCACGGTTCAAAAATAATCAACATAATAAATTAGATAATGCTGTGATCGGTGGTCCACGAGTAAAAGCGGCTCGCCGCACATCGACAGGCAAAGATCGCCAACGGCAAGCAGCGATGCGCAAACAACGTGTCCTGCGTTTGTTTTCAGAGTTCGTAATTTTCCTTTTGTTGTGTAAAAGAAGTGCTTATAAAAAGACATATTTCTTTTGAATTATTGTAATCGACGCGAAGATATTAATGAATTCACATACGAAACCGAACTTTTGACGCAAAACCAAGGACGCAGTTGAAATAGACAGTAGCTGATCACATTCATGTAATTTTCATGCGCACTCCATGATTGATCTATGTCAATTTGATTGTAATTGGAAATATGTGACCATGTGATGGGTCGAGTCACGATTATGTGACGAATGCGCTTGATTCTCTATATTGATATAAGTCAATGACGTGAGATTGTCGGAAAATACCTTTTCAGTGATAGAGCAATTCTTGAGCTCATAAGGTTATAGCCAATTTAAGGATCATATGCGTGCGCCAAGTGGAGAATTGTTGGATTTAATACTTATAAATGACTTTTGTGGGACATATGATTAATCAATGTGTAATTTCTATCTTGTCAGGATAACTCACTAAAGGTGATCAATTAGTTGGGTTAATGGTATTTAAATATAATCATGGGGTTATATGTGCAGATACGCAGGTTTTGTAATTGTGATTTATTGAGGGGCTAATATTACAAAAGTACAACCTCTTATAAATAGGAGGGGTTATGGTCGGCTAATCTAGGATTACAACATTCTCTAATTCTGCTTCACCGCTCAAATGCTAAGAGAGAAATTCGGCTAAAAGAGATAACCCAAGGTTAGAAGATCCAAAACAAAACAAGATCAGCAATGGATTCAGGTATAAGCCTTCGCGCTCTTTTTAGATTTTTGTT